GTTGTATGAAGTCCTGCTGACAAGACTTAAACAAAATATAGTGCAGTTCTCCATCCATCTCACATCTCCACCTCTTAATCAAACGGTCCCACAGCTCATTCTCACTTGTCTGTCGCAGGTATGGGTCCAATGCCATGGACCATCAACTCTGAGATCTATCCTCTTTGGGCAAGGAGCACAGGGAACGCCTGTGCAGCAGGGGTCAACTGGACCTTCAACATCCTGGTGTCTCTTACCTTCCTCCACCTGGCTCAGTACATCACCTACTATGGTCAGTTTCTGTGTGTAAGGAAATAATAACCTTGAAAGATTTTATCCTTTATTTTTTACACGTAAGAGGTATTTTTGTGTTCCCATTAAGAGCAATAAGGACAGAACAGCTTGTTGATACCCTGAAGTGATGCTTTCTTCCACCCATCTTGCATAACTCCTCAGTCAGTGTAGCACAACAGCAGGTTTCCCCTCACACAGGAAGGAGCTGACCTTTGGCGGAGTTGGAGATCAATCAATCAGGGGTGATTGTGGAAGCATCCTGAGATCCACTGGATTAATTATCGATTCGGAATCATTCACCAATTCATCTGCTTGATAGCAATCATTTACTAAAAGTGGGGCAAATAATGTCAAAGCTGGGAAAACACAAGATGTTGTCTTGTTAAATCTTAAAGTGCACTCGGCTGCAACTTAAAAATGTCACTGTGCGTTGACAAGAAGAAAATACGGACCACAGTTGCGACAAAATCTCATTAAACCTGTGTCAGTCTTTTCATATGAACCCTTATTCGTCACATAGTTATTTGTTTCCCATTTACCCTGCTGTAAGGCCATATTGACAGGTGCCTTTTACTTATACTCCACATTTATCATAGGGTGACCAGCAGTGTGAAAGCAGTGTTGCAAAAACATTTTCATTCTTCACCACACACGTCCCTAGAAGTGCGTGGGGAGTCGTGGTCTAATATTAGCTGCCCGCGGGATCTGTTGTCACCATCGGTGTTTCTTTTTCTGGCAGTGAGTGAGAACAAGCAAATCATTTTATAAGAAGTGTGAAGTTGTGCCATTGTGTTTCTCATCTTTGTGGGTGGCTATCCTCGGTGACAGCGTGTTCTTTTGCTTTGTCTTCTCAGGAGCTTTCTTCCTGTACTCCAGCATGGCCTTGCTGGGTTTCGTCTTCACATATGGCTGCCTGCCAGAAACCAAATCCCGCCGTCTGGAGGAGATCGAAGCGTTGTTCGAAAACCACCTTTGCTCTTGCGGCGCCTCTGATTCGGATGAGGGACGGCAGGTTGAGTACATCCGGGTCAAAGGTTCAAACTACCATCTATCGGACAATGACGCGTCAGATGTAGACTAGAGGAAACTTGGGTGTTGCTTACCTCCCTCTGGGTGTTTCATTAGCCATTTCACTGGAACATGCAGAGCGACCGAGTCTGTAATAGTGTTCTTTTTCCTGTGATCTGAGGGGCCACTGATTTACCTCCAACATAGATTGGGAATTACATTTTAGAAGACTATGCTTCTATCAGTAACATGTATCAGTTCACTTTTCAAGCAGTCAATTGGGGGAATCCCAATCAACACTAATGCTTTAGCATGAATGTTTCCCATTAGTTCATTCTCTAAATTCAGGGGTGAACTGGCACCTTATCTGGTTTCAGACCTGCTTATTATTTTCAACCACAGAAGTCTATAACACTGGCCTTCTACGCAGATAATAGGCAAAGCATAATACATCGAAGTCCAGTGTCTTTTTCTTAGAGACTAGTTATGACTGTTTAACAGATGCAAAGATACAAAATACAAGGGACTCGAATTTGTCCCTAATATTTTGTGCATTTGTTTTATAAGCACCATTTATGATTTATACACTTTGTGTCAGAATACAATGGCAACTCCATTCAAAAAGTTACAGTAAATAAAACCACAAAACTTTTGTTGACTGGACAGCAGCTGTTGTCGTCTTTCGTACCATTATGCCTTGGTGTATGAGACACATTCTGCTGTCTCGTTTTTTCAGCTTGTAGCGTAGCACACTTAATGTCAGTCCTTGAGCTGATGTTCTTCTGTTTGCAGTTTGAATTTTTATGAAAAGCAATTGCCAGAGACACACGGTATATCATTACGGTTGAGTAAACTTGCATTGTCGACGGGTGCCGAAACAAAACCGTTCTTACAAACTTGGTAGCCCTGAAAGGACTGGAAGTCTTCGTGCGACAATATGGTTTGTGTATTTATATATTTATTTAAAACAGGTCTTTTTGTTAATCCACATTTCGACAAATTACAAATTACTTTTTCATTTAAAATGTGCTTCGCAAAACCTACCCTACGAACCAATGTTGCAACTCTTGCAATGAACTTTTTCTTGTCGTTATTTCTGGATATAGTGTCTGTAATATCCAGCAAAGAAACCGGGCTGTTCTGTCTGTAGCAGTAAAAGTAAGCTTTAGCTTGATGACTGAGATTTTTAAGTGTTTCGTTCTATCTGAACATTGATATATTAGTGCCTGTGTATTGTGAAGGTGCCTAATGGCCATTTTTCAGTCACATTTCCTGTAGGTCTACATGGCCTTTTTTTTTTTTTTTAAATTTTAACATGTGCATATTTGCATTTCACCTGTGATGGAATTTTATTGACTAAAATTTCATGTATTTTGCTTTGTGTCTTCCTTCACAGCCTTATGTACAAATAGCCGAGCATATCATTTATGTAGTTCTCGTGTCAAAAGTTGAGGAGTAGGCTTTAGCGTAATTTGGCAATGTTGTTTTGTAAAAAGTGTAAACTGTGTAAGGTTACACCTTGTTAGTTAAATACACGTAATTTTCTGTGTAGCGAAACTGTTGGAAAGTAGACAACTGTGTAACAAAAAATAAAAAAGGGTAAGTAAGGGGTATAAAGGCTGCTGCTGTGCTTAGTGAACAGGTTTCTCATGGCAGACACCCAAAATAAACGATTGTAAAAATACAGTACAATGCAACGTTTAAAATGATGGAATTTTCCATATGATTTCTTCTACCTATATTTTTAACCCCACATTAATAGAAATACCCAGAAACCTCAGTAAAAAAAACGGATAATGTGCTAGCAGAAAATTACCATTTAAAATTTTTCTTTTTTCCAACAGTCCATTATCCTAACCCATCACTATTTATAGACTAGTACCACTTTTTAAAACAAGAAACAGACCATCAAATGCCGTGGGACAATTACACCTAAGTGATCCATTAAAACTCGGTGGTTTGCAAGTATTGTAGTAATTTTGGTGTTTTCAAGGTGTCATGTGGATACCTATGGGGAAAAAAGGTTTAAAAAAATGAATAAAAAAAAAAAACCTTCAATAAATAGAAGAACAGTGATGGCATACTGTAGCACACAAGCACCCTCATGTGGAAAACCGGCAGATTTTTTAAAAATAAAAAAAGCTTTCAAATATCATAGTTGCCTCTTTAGTTGCAAGTTCTTCAGCGTTATAATAGCTGATCATTTTTCAAAGCAAACACAAAAAGTAGTATCAACATGTACAGACTACAATAAAATCATATCAAGAATTGAAGTCAGCACAAAAAAAGTTCAAATATTCAACTTGCGTTTGAAAATGATGAGCTATTCTATTGTAAAGCACTTGTGATTTGTAGTTATGGGGCCAGAATATTCCAGATATTTTCTTTTTTAATCCAAAGCGGTAATAAAGGGATCCTTGAAGATGAGCTCTGATTGTTTATTTCAATAAAAACAAAACATTGCGAAATATAGTTCAGAGTAATAACTTAAACTTTCAAAACTTTGCTTTTCAACTCATTTAGCGCAGCTTCTCTGGAGTGAAAGGTGTAGAAGACACTAGCAACTATAATTCAGTATAGGATTGTATTTGATCAGTTTCACTTAATCCAGGAGAGTTTTCTTAAAACTTCACAAGCTAGTTTTGTACTGAAAGTACTACTACACACAAAAACCACAGATTTACCTGTCCACGGCACAGACTGAGTAACGAAAACTTGTGTCAACCAAATATTTAATGTGATTGTTTTAGGCTGCACCTGTGTCAGAGATAATGTGGTGTTCAGCCCTTAACCTCCGGTTAACACTGTCCTCTACCACAGCTGAGGGCATTAAATGTGTACTTATCAGTAAAATGGTTACATTTTTTTCTATGTGAACCAATTACGTGTGTTTTTGCTAAAGTTTGTGGGGTATTACAGAAATGCAAATTTTAAAAAAAAGAGTGCTGTATATTTGATTATTGTTCAAGCTGTAAATGTTTTGCTAGAGTTTATATTATATAAAGATAAATATCTTCATGAAATATTGTGTATATGGGGAAAGAAATAAATGTATGAATCAAAGTCATGTTTTGGAGCTTTATTTAACTGCATAAACTTCATCACAACATTAAGAACACTGTAACTATTTTAATCTACTTTTAGGACTGTTGCTTTAAAATAACGGAAGATGCACAGCACAGAACTGATTTCCTGACGTCTTCATCCATCTGTTCTTAGTAGCCCTGAATTTTCCTCTGCTTCAGGAGGAGCAAAACGTTGGCTATGTCTTGAAGCATTTCAGCCTCCTTTGAGACTATGTTAACTCTGGTGCCAGATGTGCCCTCTTCCCTCCCTTGATCTGAAAAGCTTGTCATTGGAGGGCAGTTCTCGTGTTGTTCTGTCTCATCCCTGCCTTCTTTATTCTCCTGACCTAAATTAGAAACATTAGAGCAAAATTTAATGTGATTTTCTATCTCAAGTTTCTCTCAAACGACACATAAAGAGAGCTGACTATTTCACTTTCATGTCATACCTCTGACATTAGTCGTGCTCAGGGAGTTAGTGAGAAGAAGGTTTGTGGGTCTCTGTAGAATCGTTTTGGCACCGTTATTAGCAGTGACCATGCTCCTGCCTGACGGGGAATCCGCCTCTGATTTCTTGTTGCTCCAGGGCGTCTGCTTCTCTTCGCTCCTGGAGTTTTCTGGTGAAGCTGTGAGTGCATCTGGCTCTGTGGCGGTACCGGCCTGCCTCCCTGTGGCTGGAGGCAGCTCCGACATGTCAGCGTTTGATAGATGCAAGCTGTACCCGAGAGCACTGTCTGCAACAAAGCTGCACTGAGTCGAAGCGTCGCACGCCCCAGCTGGGGGGCTGCGTACTGTTTGAGTTCCTGCATCTCGAGTTTCACTTGATGTTTTCTTGCATTTGCAGACATCTGAGCTCTGAGTTTGAGCTGAAGGGTGTGGAGATAAAAGGAGAGCTGTGCTGCTTTCTTTCTCCTGCCCTTTACTTTCAAAAGCCTTATCTGGGGTAGCCATGTTCTCAGTAACTTTCAGGTCAACTCTGAAGTCCATTTGGGATCTTATTCGTGGGGTGTGAGACCTGAGCTCAGAGAGTGTTTCATTTAAATTCCCTTGAGAGCTACTGGGGCCAAAGGCTTGATCCATGTAAGAAGAAGATGCTGGGAGGCATAGCTGATAGCAGTCTTCATCCTAATATATAGTTTTAAAAGTAGAAAACAGCAATTCCTGTGTCAGATGGTGTGAAAATATGTCCAGGAAAGAGGTATAAATCAGTGGCACTGTGCAAAGAACACTGTGCTGTTAATGAGTGTTGCTTTTTGGGACAGGTGATGATCTGTTTAATAGTAATTTCCTCATTTGTGTTTAATTAAAAAAAAGGAGGCTGCAGAAACTGGCAGAGTGCTGATAGTTAATCTACAGCTTAATTAACATCAGTACTACAAAAATACAGCATGAATTTGCTACAGTTTTGAGGGGTTAGATGAAAGATTACTTTAATGTATTTCAAAGATAACTTTCCAAGTAGAGCACTTCAGAAAGTTGGAATAAAGTTCACAGTGTAGCTTCACTCACATCATTTGAGTCTGGACTCAGGTAACCTCCTCTAAAAGAGTAACTTGGCGAATATTCAGAGCCATTCGCTGGCCCAGTGTTGTCTCCAAAGCATGCTGTGGAATTAGAGGGGAAAAAACACCCATTTACTTTTTGGTTTTTCCTCAAACATTTACATAATAAATGAATTTCCTTAACGTGAGACTCCTTGGAAACTTACAAAACCTTGTGTCAGGGCAGTTGTAGGGCTGTGAACAAAACATATTCAATATTTGACACTTCTGCTGTACCCATGTATATAATCCACTTATAAAAAATATTAAACATAAACTGTTAGGAGCTCTATATGACAGCTTATGATGATGACTGGAGAGCCTCATTAAACTTTGTGATGATTTGCTTTCTACACATTTGAAGTTAATTCCGTCGCAGTTCCAAACCTGACCACTTGGTGGCAGTAAAAGGGCAACTTAAAACCTGCTTACCTCTGCTCCCATGCACTGTGAGTCTGGCACAGTTCTGGCAATAAAATAATAAAACCCAACATAAAATGGATTCAAAATTTGCTCCATAATAATGCATTTCGTTAGACTGGAAGTGCAAACACTTACTGAGGTGCAGAAGAGTTTACCGGCGTCTGATCTGGGAGACATATTTTGGATTTTTCACTCCCAGAATGAGAGTGTCCTTCACAATCTTCATCACAAAAGCCTCTGAAGACATTGTCCTCCAATTGCTGCTGAATTTCTGACTGGTTAAGCGTGAAGTCCAGCATGGACTCTTTGTCCTTTGGCTGGTTGAGAAAGATGCTGTCCACATATGTTGCATGGTCTCCTGCCTTGCTTTTACTGTGGCAACACACACGGGCACTGATTGGTTAAAAAATTGAAACTAAGGATAGAAAATAACCAATTAAAATGTAAACTTGTTTTCACCCTGGTTGTGGACTGCCAAAGAGGACCTGAGATGCTGTGGGGTTCTCAAGTTGGAAGAAGGGTTGGTTAAGGTTGTGCGACCAGGGAGATGTGTTTGTCATACTTCTGGGCTGAGAGAAAGGATGAAACTGACAGAGAAACAAATCAGCATTTGTCAGAAGAAAGACACATTATTGTCACATTTTATTAGATTGTAACTATTTTCTCTTAGCAAGAGATGCTGTTGGTCCAAAGACTATAAACTGGTCTAAAACAAGAGGTCACATACTACTCCAGTTTTGGTTGCCGGCAAATTTTAGGTTTCATTTTAAACTTTTAGTTTTTACTTTCAGAGCTCTACATGTTGAAGCTCCACTGTATATCTCTGACCTGTTGAAACCTCATGCTTCTTCTTGAGCACTTCAGGTCAGATGTTAATGTTGGTCCCACGTACTGGGTTCAAAACACGTGGGGATCAGGCTTTTCGGGCAGTGGCACCAAGGCACTCTTTACACTTGACCCCTTTAAAAGCAGCTGAAGACATTTCTATACAAACAAGCTTTAATTTTTTTTTTCATTTTATTTATATTTCTGCTTTAATTGTGAAGCACTTTGTGATTTTTAACTGTGAAAAGTGCTATATAAATAAATTTTACTTACTAAAATACTATAGTGATATGATAAAATACTAGTACCTTTAGTAATACTAAAAGTAATGCTACATTACTTTTTCTTTGTTGTTTTCAGCTTTTGTATTGAACAAAAATGCCTGAATTTTAGGCCTGAATAGCCTGAATAAATATAAATAAGTATTTATAATTAGGCACCTGTGTAGGTGTGCAAAAACCATGTTTGTAGATGAGGTCACTGGGGGACAGGCTATCCATTTCTCACAATCTGAAGAAAGCCAATGCGAAAAGGATGGCATGCAGCTTCAATTTTCATCGAAGTTGGCCATCCCCCACTCATTTAAAGTCTTACAGGTTAAAAGGCGAAACGCTGGTGACCCTGATTGGACCTCGTCACCACCAGGCTATCAGGAACAGGCCCATTCATCTAGTTACTTAAGCAGCTTCTACTTGAAGCAAACCATCTTCAATGTGTATCTCAGCCTCATGGCAAAATTACCAGTTTTAAATTCCCATGAATGAAATCACTACAAAAAAAAAGATTACATTCACTGTGAAACACCTTGACACACATGCCATATGTCACATTCTATAATTAAAGCACAATATGATTTATTGTAAAGCAGAGTTCTGAGAAGTTACCAACATCTTTGTTGGCCTGTTAAACAACACCAACACAAGCCATTTTTCCACACCAACTTTAGATAAGTTTCTCAACTCAAGTCAGAGTTTCCATACTTTTCCTTTCTTACATATGAAACCACGGGTGGGGTAAAATGTGTAAAAACTACAACTTTAACCTTAAAGTAGTGATGTAATTCTAATAAGAGCGAATCCCTTACTGCCTCGGTCTGCGATAGAACTGAGGTGTCCCAGGGTGGGGGAGAAGAGGGATGCAGTGCCTGGCTTTGTTTCTGGAGATTCAGCTGCAGGGTGAAAGTTCCTGTGGAGAACAGTTGGATTTCATAAGATATCATCACGCAAAGAAGAATACGCAGTACTGTAACTGAGTTATAGTTGTTAATAGTCTATTAGTGTTACACAACCTTGGCCTGAGCAGGCAGATGAGGTGGAAGAGAAGGGGCTGCGGGCATCAGGTATGGCAGGCAGGTAGTCAGAGGCACTGTTGTCTGAGAAACCCGACTCAAGTACTGGCGACAACTTACAAAAACAGGGATTTAGTGAGTGTTTTTACATTTGTTCATATTAAGCATGTTTCGCTAACTTGAAGTAAAACCATGAAGAGCAGTAAAAAGTGACTTACACGCTGAAACTTGAACCCTTGTGGAATTACCTTCCTTCTTTCTCTGCCTTCTTGAACACTGTTAAGATGGAAAATATAATACTTTTAAAACCCTTTTCATTCCATTTATTAAGAGGATTATTATTATATTAACATAATTGGCTACAAGAACTGATAACCCACAGTGGGGCTATACCTGTACTCAGACTGGCCCTCAACAAGACACAGCTGTGATGGGGAACAGGGGCTCATCGGGAGCACCAGAGGATCTTTTCTCTTATGCCTGGCTCCTGCCTTACAGCTGCCAAGAACTGCTGCTTTAGGAGGATCTGAAAAACAAGAACACTATCTGTTTACCATCCTGAGGCTTAAATGTATTCGATTATTGTTTTCTGGTGATCTGGGGCTTTGAATCTCACCTTCACATGCTTTTTTAGCAGCAATCTGGTTGACGATAAACAGAGTCATTAGGTCCAAACTACCAGAACTAGTGTTGTCTAGGGAAGGGGCTGGGACAGGTATTCCCATGTTTTTAAGTTTTTGTTGCATTTTTCTCTTTTCAAAGAATTCCTGGAACAGAAAAAGCACAACCAATATTTAGGCACAGGGACAAAGGCTTTGTTAATTTAATACATTTACAAAACTGGTTACAATGAAAAAACATCAAGCTTGAACATTAGTGATTGTTATTTAATGAATTATCATTACACAAGGATATAGATTTTAATGTTTACTACATGAAAAATAAATAAAATGTTTGTGAAAAACAAAGGCAGCGATTTGGGCTAGTGATTATTAATCAATTATTTTGGGGTATTGTTAAGTTTTAAGACTTCACATCAATGAAACTTCAAATAGGCTATGTCTGGGCTTTTCAAATGGCTAAGTTGCCTTCTACTAAAAATACCAAACAACAAATAAGTAATTAAAGTTCAAGTACAAGTCCAAAGCTACACACATTATAAAC